CTAGAGACCTAAAGACCTGAATCTAGAAAACTCAAGTTCTAGGCTTAACTGTTCTAGAAACAGAGGCCCGGAGGAAGAGTCTCCAAAGTGGGAGCCATGCCACCATCTCATGCCATGCCACCAACCCACTTCCACCCTCCCCATGATAGCCAATTGTTGGGTTTCTCTTCAGCATAACCACACCTTTACCAATCATCAAACTCCCAACCATCCCACTGCTGCCTAAGTCTAGAGGTTACCAAAGAGGCCACTTCATACTGAAAGCAACTCTGAATCTGAACTACTGAGGCGAAGAGAGGGTCTTCAGAGACCCCTCAGCTTTCCAAGACACAGAGCAAGCAGCACTTACACCATGGGTCAATTTCTGACCCTCTAACACTACAGACAAGCAAGTTCCATGCACTTTGGCTGGAAGTGGGGCCCTCTCATGCCACCTCTGGATTTTCAAGGAATTCCTAGAATCAACTACAGGCACTGGTAAAAAAGGTAATGAAAGAAACCAATGTCAGGGGGCACTGAGCTAACAGAATTAAAAGCTGATAGATAATGAGAGCTTCCCAAGAATTGTTTCCAATGACTAAGATGAGAGTTAGCATTAAATTATCATTTGAACAAATATATAGGGTTGGAAGGAGTTTGCCCAGGGTCATAAATCTTGCCTTCAAAAGTAGCAGTAGTAGCAGTAATAGTAGTAGTAGCAGCAGCAGCAGCAGCAGCAATAGTAGTCATATGTAGCAGCAGCAGCTAATATTTACACAATGTTTTAAAGATTGCATAACACTTCACAAAAATCTCTTGTTATGCTAAATACTTTACAAATATTACTTCAGTTGATCCTTACAACAACCCTGGGAATAGGTGCTATTCATTATCCTCATTTTATAGGTGAGGAAACTGAGACATAGCTAGTAGATGTCTGAGGCTGCAATTAAACTCAGGACTTCTTGGCTCTGAGTACCCTGTTCTATCCACTCTACCACCTACTTGCCTCTAAGTAGAACCTGCACCTAAGTCAACAAAAGGAAGTTTCCCTGGTCTACATTTACCTCACCACCACTGCCAATTATTAGGCAGGGAATAAACAGATGTAGCTACAGAATTCCACACTAAGCCAGAAAGCTGGAGGGACTGTCCACACATTCAAATCCATTAGGACACTTAGTTCTTTCCTCAGTGACCCAAAAAAAACTCACGCAGGCCTACAATATGATGTGACATAATTTATGTTTGTCAATAAATCTTCATGTCCTAGGCTGCTGAGGGCCTACCATTTCCCAATGTGCCTTTCTGATGACTCAAATTAAATCCTCTTTAAAATTCATATTCATCTTTGCCTCTCTTCCTGGTATTCATGTTCTTAATCCTAATCCTTCTGATGGGGTGCTTGGAGGCCTGTGCTTAGACCCCAATTTCTCCCTGGCCTCAGAAACACTATCCCTGATAGTTTCCCTATCTCTGGCAATAACTCATGAGTGGGCCCAATGAGGCAAACTATCGCTCCCTGTTACAAGAACAAGCTGACCTTTGTAGAATTTCTCTCATATGAACGGGACTATCTTGTACCAGCAGAACTATCAAGCAATGATGCCCACAGTTACCGTATACAATCCAGAGGTCAAGCTGCAGACATCAACTCCTGAAACTATCTTGTCACAAGACATAACAGACCAAAAACACACCCCTTAGGAAACCCTCCTCCCCGATTTCCAATAGTGAATGACGTAGTTGTATGTTATCACCTATTTAGCATACTTGGCACATAATCTACTGCTTTTCCTCTATGAGCTTTAGCATCATTCCTGTTGGGTTGCCAGTTCCCTAAGGAGCTCTGTCCACCATGGCAGAATTGGCAATAGTTGGCAACAGCTTGGTCTTCACTTGGTTATGTAGGTTCTATTGTCTATTAAAAATCGGTTTCATTTTATCATAGCCACACTGCATGTTATATTCCCCCTGTTTAAATGAAAAAGCATTATTTTCATAGCTGTTTACTAAAATCACCAAGTGACTTTAACCTCACAACTAAATAGATACACATCTTTGTTTCACAAGCTTGTTTATCCTTCTCTAATTATATTCACTCTGAAAGAAAGAGATACTTCAGAAATTGAATCTTTTACATACCATAAGTTCAAATGCTAATTTTAACTCTTGTTTAGGTCATGGAATGATTACAAATTCAGATCAAAACAGCAAGATCTCACATACTTATATCGTGCTCAATGTAAGGAATGCACCTTAGGGAGACCTAAGGACCTACAAGCCTAAATGCAGGGGGAGCTCCTGGAGAGCAGGAATGATCTGGCTTCTCCATTGCTATCTCCTACACTCAGCACACGTTTAATTAATGTGTTTTCAAGCTTTCATTTATTCACTCACCTAATTAGCCTCCCTGCTTTAAGTCTTTCCCCTTTCTAATGCAATCCTCTATATAGCTGCCAAAATTATTTTTCTAAAACACAGATCTGATAATGTCACTCTCATACTCAATAAATTAGAGTAGCTCTATTACTTTTAGGATCAAATAGAAACTCTATCATGTTGTGAAAGAAAACACAAACAAAAACAAACAAAATACAAACAAACAGAAAAAGAAAGTAAAGAAATAGTCTGCCTGGATCTGCATTCAGGCTCCATCAGTTCCCTCTCTGGAGATGGAGAGCAATTTTCGTCCTAAGTCCTTCACAGCTGTCTTGGATCATATTTAAAGTCCTCCACAATCTGGTCCCCACAAGCCTTTGGAGCCCTATTAAACATTACTCCCCCTAAACACAAGTCTAGCCCAGGCAAACTAGCTTTCTTACAGTTTCTCACACACGAAACTCCATTTCCCATCTCACTGTCTTCTGTACCAGCTGTTCCCCATGCAAAGAAAGCACTCTCTCCTCATCTCTTTCTCTTAGAAACCAGAGTTTCTTCGAAGGCTTTACTTACGTGAAGCTTTTCCAATTCTTCCCAGTTGCTAGGGCCTTCCCTCTCCAAATTCCTTTGTATTGACTTTGCACATGTAACCTTCACGTACAGGTTGTCTCCTGCCCCAACAGAACCCAAGCTCTTTGAGGGCAGAGACTGTCTCACTTTTGTCTCTCTATCTCCAACACCTGGCATTTGCTTGCCTGGTAACAACTGCACTTAAGACTAAATAATAAAATTATGGGAGAGCGAAAAAAGGGTCTATCTCTATCCTCTCATGTCATTTTGGCTTAGCTCTCCCTCCCATGGCACAATGCTGTCTATGACTGATTACCAAAAGATTATTCTGCACAAGGGCCCTATGGAAACAAGTCCCAGACTTCTCAGTTCTGGCCTTTAACATATAACACGTATATTCAGTAAGAAAAACAATCGCCAACTGCCACTTACACAGTCTCATTTGTGTTTGCCAAAATACAAGCACACACACCTGGCATGCACCTTCACACTCTCAATGAGCAGAAGTGTAAGCCCGAGCCCAAAGGGCCATGGCTAATTTATTGTGCTCTTCTAGCATCCTGGAGATTCACCTAGAAGCTGGAGAAATTCAGCTCCAGGCCAGGATTAAGAGCAGGATTTGGGGGGGGGGGGTTCTGTTCCAGGTTGTGCCTCCCCACAGGGAGCCTGAGAAAGGAGGACAGGAAAAGACAGTCCCTCACAGCTAAGGTAATTTTTCATTTAGAAAACAGTGTCCTCGAGTACAGACATAGCTCTCTTGAAGAGAATTCACCATGCATACTTCAGAAGTTACAAAACCGTTAAACTAGGGTGCTCCAGCCCCCTGCAAAGACTGAGGGTCCTACCCTCCCACACCCACCGAAAATATAAGACCATCAACCACTATGTTATTTACATAGAACTCTTCAAAATCCTATCAGCTACATGAAGCACGCTCAACCTGTAAAGGTAAAAACTGAAAACTGAGTTTTTGTTAAGGGAGAAAATGAAGAACTGCACTGCTTACTTCTCCAAACATTCTATGCTGCTCCCTTACCTCAAAAGCAACCGCAGATCTTTCAAGATAACGTGGCTGCACGAGCTGCTGGGAGAGCTCTCCATGGACTTCTGAACCCTGGGACCTTAGCAGCACAGTGACCCCAAAGACTGTGTCTCCTAAGGTAGCACTCACAGCATCAGAAGCCTCCCCCCCCCCCCGGGGGGGGGGGGGGGCTGTTGTGTTAGCACCTTCCAAACCAACTTGTTTTAGGCTTCTCCCCAAATTCCTAACCTCACCAGCAAAGAAGAGTTTTGTTTTTTTGGTTTTTTTTTCCTCCCCTAAAGCACAGGGCTTAATGAACCAGCACTTCTCTTAGTACAGGCTGGTATTGTATTCCACTACTCTACTCCAAACAAGGAAGGCAGGGTCTGTGGCACAGCCACATGCCCAACCCAGGCCTTTCTCCTCTGTCCGGATATCTGCTTTACCCAGTTTGCTGTACTAGGAAAGGCCCAGAAGACACAGAGCTCCACTGCCTCCCACTAATCACTGTGGCCCAAAAGGCCTTTTTTGGTACACAGAACTACAAACTTTTTTTTTTTTTAAAGGCAATTGGGGTTAAGTGACTTGCCCAGGGTCACACAGCTAGTGAGTGTCAAGTGTTTGGTCTGAGGCTGGATTTGAACTCAGGTCCTCCTGACTTCAGGGCCGGTGCTCTATCCACTGTGCCACCTAGCTGCCCCAGAACTACAAACTTCCAGAGCTCGAGGGGACCTCCAAAGCTCATCACATCAAGTCCCTTCTCTTTGGGAAAGCCTCCACTTCACCCCATCCAAGATGATGTTTATCCAATTGTAAATGGCTCCATCTACAACCTTTTCAGTGATTATCTTACTAAGCCAGAAGTTCTTCCTTGGGTCTAAATCAGCTTCTAATTTGTTAGTGATTTGGCCCCATTCCCTTTATTCTCCCTGGAAGACAACCAACAGCTATCTTCCCTTTCACAGCATTTCATACTCATTGTTGTCAAGAAGACAGAAGGTACAGACTGAACTCCAGGAGAAAGAGAGGATCATCTCTAATCACTTACGTTGAATGTTAAAGCAAAATTTCTTTTGTTGGTAGGAAATATAACTGGAGACTGCTCCAATGAGTGCCATTGCAAGGGCACTGGCTATGCCGGCAATTGTCCCCGTTTCTGCTATTGTTCCTGCCAAAGAAAAAATGGAAAGAGGCACCGACAGGTAAGGTGAGGCACAGAAAACCACCGAAACCCACCACACCGAGGGTTGGTTTTCTTTCACTGCAGACACCAAATCAGCCACCACACTGCTCAGTGAATGGTGACAGAGATGGACTTCAGATGAACACAGACTCAGACTTAGAAGGGAACTCAGAGGACATCTAGTACAATCCACACCTGAATAGGAATCCCCATTTGTACACATCAAACTGCTGAGTAAAGACCTCCAGGGAGAAGAGACTTACCACCTCCCACATCAACCTATTCCAGTTCAGGAAAGTCCAACGGTCAGGAAGGTTTTTTTCTGCCAAACCTCAATCTGACCAAGCAGAGTTAAGTCTAATCCCTACCTCTGACTAACTACAGTCATCCTTCAACATTCAAAGGTTCCACATTTGCAGTTCGGGTTATTCACAGGTTGGCCATCGATAATTAAATGGAAATTTTTGAAGATTTGCAGCACACTGAAGAAAATTGCAAACAATGCATGAATGGAAAGAAAACTTTAAAAAAATTTACTAAGTCATAAATGCATAAATACTATACATTATTAACCTATTTTATCATTTACTACCATAAGTATATATACATAAATTCATTATGTAAACAGTTAAATTTTGTAAAACTTTCAGTGCACTAAAGAGCTGTGGGCTATGCACTCTTTGAGGGAACACTTCCTCTCTGTCTACCATCCGGACTCAGTCACATGATTTTCTCCCACAGTGATCTCTGTATCTTTTGGTTTTTGTAGAAGGAAATGTGTGAAGCAGTCGCTGCAGCTCCACCAGCAGTATGTTGTTTTACTTGTTTTGTGCATTAAATAAATATGATCAGAATTATTCAAAATAAAGGAATGACATCTAGACTTGGGCTCCTTCACCTTTTTTGTGTGTCATGGACCCCTCTTTAGAATTATGCTTTTAAATGCATAAGATAAAACATGTAGGTTTACAAATTAGGCCAATTATATCTAAATACACATCAAAATATTTGAAAAACAAACAAGTTAATGGGCTGCTAGTTAAGAACATGTGACTTAGACATATGGTAACTTACCGGTTCCAGGGTCATCATTGCTATCATACCTTCGATCACCTAGAAAAGGCATGGTAATAATTAGTGTCTGCCCACACTCCCAAAACTCAGCTCCTACTCCCCAGTCGTAAATCATTCTCTCCCCTCCCCCTCCTCTATACGAGCATATGAGGATGATGGAAAACTGTGCCTCTGATTCTCTCTGACACAACCCTTTCCCTAAGCCTGCAGAACCTAATAGACTGTGACTCAATCAAAGGCTGATGGGATCAGAGATTTGGAGTTGGAAGAGATCTCCAGAAGCATCTAATAGAACCTGCACATTAATGTATAGAGAAGGACAGTGACGTCCAGAAAAGTTTAGCGCCTTGCTCATGATCAGAAAGCTAGTAGGTAGCAAAGGTGGGAATAAAACCAGGGCTTCCTCACCACAAGCCGTGCACTGTATCTACTATGGTTGTGCTACATTCAACCAAGGATTTCTCATCCCCGGAACACAAAAATCCCAGTCTTCCAGGTGACTGAGAACTCTGGGTTCTAACTTTCATGGTTTTGAGTTCACTGATGAAGTAACATAAGCAAAGGTGACATAGCACAAAAGGTCACTATGGCATTTCGAAGACCAACCCAGGTACTGCAAAGGAAGACGACTTGACTGGGTGGAAGACTGGTTTTTGAGGGAAACAAAAACGCTGGACTCCCAAGTACTAAGAAGACACAATTAAGTCAGTCAAGAGGCCCTAGGATGGAAATTGATTTTCCAGTGATGTGGACACACTAGTGTAGTCTTCTACACTGAGAGGAGGTATTTATTAGGTGGCCTTCTACAGTGAAACCAAGTGATTACTTAGGAAATAAAACCTTTCTCCACAGATCATTCTCCAACCTATTAACCAGTCAAGACTGTCCATAAAAGAGGGCTAAATCCATTAGTCTCATGCAACCCAAGGGCTAAATAAATCTGGGAACTCTGAGTCAGCTTGGGGCAGGGAGTAATACCTGGAAAACCTTGGCTATTCCAGGGAACGAGAGGGCTTCCTCACCTTTTTTTACTCTTCTGAAGCCAGAGCCTCTATAACTGATCCTTATCCAATTCTGCATCCCACAGACCAACAACTCACTGTTTGCTCCAGCCCTAAAAACAACTATCAGCTGTGGGTAAATATGATCACCGCCTCTTCAAACTCCAACAAGACGCAGAACCTGAGAATCCTGGCCTCTGAGAGATGAGCTTTCACCATAGCCTCCCTGGAACCAGCCAACGGTGCCATTTCCTGGTCATCTCCAACCCATGCCACCTGAACACTGTGACCCCAGGCTCTGTAGTTGAGTTTTCACTTTCTCTTGCCCATGATCAGGCCACTCATGCCACTTCCTGGCCATCTCTAAAGCCTTTATTGGGCTTACACCTCCCTAGCTCTTGCTTACCAACTTTAGCCTGACCTACGTGTGTTGTCTTTAGCTACTAAGTAGCTTAAGTGTGGGGATTGTCCTGTTTGTTTTTGTTTCCACAAGGTTTGACATAGTATCTGCTTAATAAACACCTTTTTCATTCAGTCATCCAAATAATGTAGGTAACTTTTCCTTTAGGAAAAAGAAAAGAAAAAAAACACTTTAATCAAGGCAAGCTTTTGAACAGGCTGTTTTAGATCAAAGCAGCCTCTGGTCCTTCAGTGAAGAACTGTCCAAAACGCAAAGAATCTCAGAAATTCAGAGGCAGGAAGCCATGACACAGCATCCCCAAGCAGGTACCCCACATAGTGAGCCCCCCGCTAACTACTCAAGAGCCTGTTAGAGAGAGTGCTGAAGTACATTCACAGAACCCCTGTTCTGTTCCACAAGAGCCTCTAAGTACTCCAGTCATAGAATTTCAGTGCTAAAAGGAGCATTAGAAATCATCTAGTCAAACTCCCTCATTTTACTGAGGGAGATACTGAGGCCCAGATGGAGAAGTGACATGCTAAAGGAAGACAGGGCCAGAATCAGAAATTGAATTCCAGTTCTTTCTAACGACAAAGTTGGGGGTCTTTCCCTTAGGTTTTCCAGGTATGAGCCCCGGGACTCTAAAGTTTCTTTAGACAAAGGATTCTGTTTTTTGGGGGTTTTTTTTCCCATTTATCTTTTCCTCTCCTGATCATGGTGAGTATGTTTTGGGGGATAGATGACAGAGCAGCTTGGGGATTCATCCATCCTCTCTTCTTGTTTTCTCCTGCTACTGCCCTAGTTCAGGCCTCCCCACTTTTTAAAATTTTTTATTTTTCAGAAGCACAAAGACTTTTTATTCTTTTTTTTTTCCGTTTCAAATTCTTTCCCTCCTTCGACCCTCTCACCCACCCAATGAGAAGGCAAGAAAAATAAAAGCCTATTATAAATATGTGTAATCATGAAAAACAAATTTCTACATTAGCTATGCTCTCCCTCATCCTCTTTATCACCACCAGCCCCCAAAAAGCAAGAAAGTGAGAAAACAAATCCTTCAATGTGTACTTGTGAGTTCATTAGTTCTCTTCTGGACATGGATAGTATGTTTCATCATAAGTCCTTTGGAAGTGTGCTGGGTCATTGTGCTGACCAGAATTCTAAATATTTCACAGTTGATCATCACTACAATATTGCTGTTACTAAATCAACCGTCCTCTTGGTTCTACTCATTTCACTCTGCGTCAATTCGTCCAGTGTTCCCGGTTTCTCTGAAACCGTCCCCCTAGCCATATCTTACAACACAATAATCTTCCATCACAATCATATACCAAAAGTTGTTCAGCCATTTCCTAATTAATCCCCTGCTCCCCCACCCCCACCCCAGTCTCTAATTCTTGGCCACCACAAAAAGAGCTGCTATAAATATTTTTGTATGTGTGGGTCCTTTTTCTTTGATCTCTTTGGGGAACAGACTTAGCAGTGGTACTGAGAGAACAAAGGATACATAGTTTAATAGTTTCTACAGTATCATTGCAAATTGCTTTCCAGAAGGGTTGGGCTAGCTCCTCAAACAGTGCATTAGCATGCCTGTTTTTCCCATGTCCCCTCCAGCATTTGTCAATTTCCTTTTCTGCCATGTTAGTCAATCTGATGAGTGTGACGTGATTCCTCAAAGTTGTTTTAATTTGCATTCTGTAATTATTAGTGTTTTCATATGGCTAGTTCAGGTCACCTGCCTGAACTACTGTTTCACTACCTACCTCTACTCTTTCCTCCATCCAATCCACCTTTCACATTGTCACTAGACTAATATTCTTAGTAGTTATTTTTTTTTCTTTAGTGAGGCAATCGGGGTAAAGTGACTTGCCCAAGGTCACACAGCTAATACGTGTCAAGTGTTTGGTCTGAGGCCAGATTTGAACTCAGGTCCTCCTGACTTCAGGGCTGGTGCTCTATCCACTGCGCCACCTAGCTGCCCTAATATTCTTTAAGGACTGATCTGATAACATCTCTTCTGCTGAAAACCCTCCCATGGCTATCTACTGCCATTTGGGTCAAATTCAAACTCCCTACAAAATATGGAGCCACCCTACCTCTTCAGTCCTATCCCCCACTACTCCCCCCCTTCTATGGGCTCGAAAGTTCCAACCTAAATAGACTCTCCAACATCCCCCCACCTCCACCACAGTGCACACCATCTTGTCTTCGTGCCTTTGCTCATGCTCATCTCCTTTATATCCAGCTACTAAAATCTGACACAGTTTTTAAAATAACAGCTCAAATGACAATAAAAATAACACCCATTTCTCTGGCACTTTAAGTTTTAGAAAGAACTTTCCCTCACAAAAGCCCTACAAGTAAATGGCATAAGTACCAATAGTTTCATTTCAAAGATATGGAAATAAACTCACAGGGGCAGCTAGGTGGCACAGTGGGTAGAGCCATGGGCCTAGAATCAGGTAGAACTGAATTTCAAATCCAGCTCAGACCTAGCTATGTGACCCTGGGCAAATCATTTCACTTGTTTGCCTCAGTTTCCTCATCTGTAAAATGGAGATAACAGAATAGTAGGATTGTACTGAGGACCAAATCAGATATTTGTAAAGTGCTTAGTAGGCACTATATAAATGTTAGCTATCATATTGTTATTACTAAGTGATTTGCCCAAAGCCATGGAACTAGTTAAGTGTCAGAGCTGGATTGGAATCCAGATCTTCTGACACCTTAGTTGAGTGCCCTTTCCATTGTACTACACATCCCAGTGAAACTGTCTCTATGCCCAAACCCAGGACCTCAGCTAGCACTTGGCTTATAATTCTCCTGTGCATTTTTTTATTTTACTTTTTATCACAGATACCAATGTATCTTTCCTAACTTCCTATTAAATCAAGAGTGGCATTCAGGCAGGAGCTAGGGGACATTTCATCTCTGTGTCCCAGAGTGTGCATTTCAACATCAACAAACCATCATTTGAGCAGGTGGATTTCAGGAAAACCTGGAAAGACTTGCATGAACTGATGCTGAGTGAAGTGAGCAGAACCAGGAGAATATTGTGCACAGTAACAGGAACACTGTGCGATGACCAACTCTGATGGACTTAGCTCTTCTCAGCAATGCAAGGATCTCAGACAGATGGCAAATGCTCTCCACATTCAGAGAAAGAACTATGGAGTCTGAATGCAGATGGAAGCACGCTATTTTTGTTTGTTTGTTTCTTCTTGTGGTTTTTCCCTTTGGTTCTAATTCTTCTTTACAATATGACTAATGTGGAAATACGTTTAACACAATTGTACATGTATAGCCCATATCAAATTGCACACCATCCTGGGGAGGAGGAAGTGAAGGGAGAGGGAGAAAATTTAGAACTCAGAACCTTACAGAAGTGAACGTTGAAAACTAAAAACAAATAAATAAATGAAACTTTAAAAAATAAACTATCATTAAGTACTCATGTAGTGGATAGCACATAGCCCTGGATTTAATTTTTTAAGGCCAGATTCCTTTAATTTCTTCTTTTCTACCTCTGCACAAGTCAGAAGGAGTGGTATCTTTTGAAACCTCTTATCAAACCAATGAGGTAGAGTCCAATGGCCCTACGTTGCTGAGCCTATGCTTTGTCATTCACTCATTTTTCAGTC